TATCCCGAAACAACACTACGATACTATGATTTATTATCGTACCTACTAAAACACGGGGCATCATTTTTGCCAAACATTTGAATGGAGAATATCATAGGCGAGAGATTTAGCCCAAATCAAGTAGGTCTCCATCTTTGGAACCAAATTAGTGGGTACCTGAGTGTATTTTTTTGAGTTCAGTACAGTTTGAGTTCAAATTGAACCTGATGTTGACAGAGATACGGAGATTGTGCCTAGCTGATGAACCCTGAGAAGAGCAAAAACGGTCTTGGGCTGTGGGCGAGTCCTGAGCGAGTTCATGAGTAGCTTCCTTCAGGAAAACATACTTTGGTATGTAGAATATCCTATCAGCTTAAAAATGAGGCACATTTACAGCACCCTTTTAGTTGAACAAGGAGAAACCCGATAGGGAACAGTCTTTCTTTAGCTTGTATTTAACAAAACTATCATACAGTCTTTCTTTAGCTTGTATTTAACAAATTAACTTGTTCAAGTGGAACTCCCTCTAGTCCTGCACAAATGATGATTAGACGGATACGGATACCATGGAATTTTCAGAACCAGGAAACCCTGAGAATGATCCCTTAATACAAGTGTTCGATTCTTTACTGAAGGCAGCTAGCTGATAAACAGAGGTGAGCTAGCCAGATAGCTTTCATATAAGGCAAGTCGAAGTAATCTGGAAAGAATAAGTGGCAACATTAAACTCTGGAGATTCAGAAGGTAAAATCTTTCCAGTGACTAGCTGCCATGCCACCCGAAGGAAGCACGAGAGTTGGGATTCTGTCAAGTTACCCGAACCTAGAAGGACAAGTTTTGATACAGAGAGGTCGGTTTTGACACACGAACCTTCCGACGGTGACGCCACTCAAAGTGATTGCACATTCATGCCCAGCACTCAGATGTTGCTGATATCGGCTGCGTCAACGGATCTGTAACACACGCGGAGAACATCGTCCACTGAGACGAGTATGTTTTTTTAGCCCGTTTCAGAGTGATCTGAGTGGCAAACTGGGCCACGTGTGACTTGGTAGAATGGTATGAGAGAGAATACGGAGAGTTTGAGTGTTGTTCAGGGTGGGCTCCCCCACGCTTGCTTTGAGTTGATCGATGTCAGTGGCATTCTCCCTGTTAGTTTGTCCCCAAATTGTCTTATTTGGCTTTGGGGATATAGGCACCTCAGAATAATTGTGGTGGATTTCCACGACCTCCTATCTTCATCCATCCTTCTCTCTTCTTTTCGCTTAAGTGTAAACTTTCTAGTCATACATCAATGACTGTCTCTGTTGATGAAAACGTCCGCTTGGAAGGTTAACAAATAGTCATTGTGTTTAGCAAAGCAGTTTCTTATCGCAGGGCGGTAACTTTAAGTGCATTGCAAAACTACTGGCCGTTTCAGTAGCATAAGGGATCGCGTAACAATCTGAGTTGAAAAGTCTAATCCAAGCTTACAGTCAGTATTTATACCTTAAACATACCATCGTTCTGGAATTACACGTCTTACAATACGTATTCCTTGATGTATGCGAATGAAGTAACAAATCAGATGTATGTTCACATCCCCGTGAGAACTTACGGTCCACTTGGCTGTAAGCAAGATGGCTGTTATAACGCTTTTGTGACCCGTTCAAACAGTTTATGCCATCAGATAAATCATTCTGTGGAATACAAAACGGCATAGAAGGGAGATTCAATCTATCTCTGAAAGTTTCATTTGTTTACTATGTTCTTCAACAGAAATTTTAACGTTCCGTTTTGAGTCAAAGCAGACTATGATATCTTTACAAGCCGTTCAACGCCAATGCTTAGCATAGCTTGACGTTTCCTGAGTTTTTGTTCACTAGTGAGTGCAAAAATATTACCAAGTACACTGGTAGGACAGTCTCTACTGTTGAACGGATTGGTGTAAAGTCATTTCTAAAGGACAAACCCAGTGGGATTTCTGGAGGGCGCACTCGACTTACAAACTCTGCAAACAACTGATGCGGCCTCCAAATGAGATTTTAAGTAAAAACCACATTCTTCACTCCGCAGCCATGAACAAAAGCACATAGTATGATAGGGTCAATAAACTTCTGCACCATTGAGTATCATCTACCGTTTGGCATTCTACCACACTGTCTTCCACCTGCTGATTTCACCAGCTCGAAGAAAAAGTCAAGGCCTATCGCTCGGAGATTGAAAAGAAGGATGAGTTGATCAGGAAACTTTCAAGGTAATACAGTTTTGTGACTAGATAATATTACACATGTTTGGCAGTATGGATATAACAGTGACCAGGCCTGTACAGGAGCCGTTGGAATCGCACGAACAATCCAAGTCACAACGGGAAGAGTTGGCCATCTTGAGATCAATGGTCGAACAGCTCTGTGAGAAGGTAAGAGTACCGGCGAATGCGACATTTGTGCCTCCGGTTCACGTGTGGCATGTGTGATTCAGTGGTCTGTTGCATCTCTTTCAGGTTTGATTGACAGAATTCTACTTTTAACCACAAGACACAAATGCAATCAAACTTTTTCAGGTCTGATGGTACCTAATTAAATCCCTTGAGTACTTTACGTCCACAATCACACCACCACCACAATCAAGATTGGGGAAACCGCCTGTTTTAGAGTTTCCAGGAATCCGATAATGCCTTTCCAAATCAGTAAGTTATGCATGTTTGACTCCAAAGTCTTTGGCATGGGGGTCACCTGGGGGATAGTCTTCGCATGTTTTCAATTCAAAGATGGTCAACAGAAGTGATATTCTGTAAGGAGCATATGATTTTGGGTAATCAGAAGTCATGTTGTACCTTCCTGTGGTCATTAGGGAGTATGAATGTGAGCCATTGTAGCGCAAGCACAATGGATTTTATCATCACGCGCCGATTGGATTGCTTCCTTCCTTTACACTACTAGTGCGGGGTCAGTAGTATAAATTAACCGAGTTCACAGCACGCTGACGGAACAATCCCATCCACCTGATGAAATGT